ACACCGAAAAATAAAAAATAATTATTTTATGAGTAGTTACTCTTCAATTTTTGAGTATAATAAAAAAATGTATAATAAAGGGCCAAAATATCTATATAAAAATAGTAGAACAAAAAGATTACAAAAAGATATCTACTTTGTATATAAGTTTTTTAATTATGTTATTAATATAGAATATTCAAAAATCAATGGCTAATTTCTTTTGGGAAATTTAATTGACTATCTTTAATCAAGTTTCCTCTCTTAATTATATTTTTTTATATACAAAATTCAAACTCAAAATCTTATTTAAAGAGATTTAATTCAGTATCACTCAAATTAACAACTTGTTAATTTCCTTTATATGTAATATAGGTGGTCATTTATATTAAATAATGGTACAAAAATTATTATTTTATTATATATTCTAATTAAATTTTAAATACATATTTTTCTTTAATTTATTCTAAATTACAATTTTTTTGAAAAGTATATTTTTTTAATATATCTATAACACTTTAACTACCTAAAACAGGTTTTCGTTAATGTATGCATGATAAGAAGCAACATGTTTCAAAATAAATATTATTTTATTTTTAATATAATATTAATTATTTTTATATTTATATTCCTAATAAGTTTTTTTTGAATGCTGATGTTGTTTTTGGTAGAAATAACGAAATGAAATTGGCCTATGAATCATCAAAATTGGTGACAAATCGAGCTACATCTCTTATTAAAAGATAAAAAGTTGTCTCTTACTTGGCTACCAAAGTTTTGTCTCCCTACCACAAAGTCTACATACTATGAACTCATACCTGAAAATTGTTTTGCTTTAGACAAAAGGAAGACGAGAACACTTCACTGTCATATAGTAAGAAGTAGTGACGTGATAAGAAGGTGCATTTATTGCAAGCAATCTAGTCCTACAATAAATTTATTCAAACATTACTCTTGAGAAACAGATGAAGCAAATGTAGAGCAAACAACGAGAGATTGTAACTATCATTTTCTCCCAGAGGCTATAATATGAAGAATCTTTCTTTGAGGAAACAAAGATAACAAGTTAACAAAACCCGAAAACTGATAGAAACTCTGAATGTATGTGTCAAAAATTATTTCGAATGATTAAAATAATAATTTAAATTATAAAATATTAAATTAAATAATTATTTTATAATAAATTTATTAAAAAATATTAATATTTTAATATTTGGAATGTGATTTGGAATACGATTTCAGAACGTATATCATTGCTCAACAAAAATCTTTTACAAGTTCTTTCAGAACGTATATCATTGCTCAACAAAAATCTTTTACAAGTTCCGTAATCACATATACCTTTTTGTTCTTACATTTGTATATTTTGTTTTCTTAAGAAGATAATTTCTTTCTATTCAATTTCTTTATTCTTTGATTGTGAGGAACTTTGAGGAGACTTTTTTGTTAAAGGAATACTTGTGATTGAAGCTTGTTTGTATCAAGAATACCTCTAAAAAGATTTGTAGAGCTATAAGTGACTTGGTAAAGAATACTTATATCTATGACAAGATAGTGGAACTTGATCTAGTTGGATCAAGAACTGGATGTTGTCTCGATGGTTGAGACAAACAAGTATAAATCCATATATAAAGTTATTATAGTAGAATTTGGTCGGTTGGTCAAGAATTGGACTTAGTATTGTAAAGAATTATTATAAAATTTACTTGTGTTGATCCTCCTCTTTTAAAATCTCCTTATGGTATATGTTTGAATAAGGGATTTTAGGGAAGTAATTCATTTATTTTTTAAGAATTTTAAATGTTTTGAAGTGAAATGCTTTACTTAGATGAAAAGTTTATAAAGAATTTAAAAATTTAAATATTTATAAAATTTTAAATTCTCTTAAAAAAGTAAGATTTTAAAAATTTTCGTGTTTCTTTCTCTCTCTCACTCACACACACACACTCACACACACACACACACACACACATATATATATATATATATGATGAAGGACTCACTTATTCTAAGATAAGTCTACCTATAGTTACTTCACTCAATAACTCATGTTCTACATCAATTTTTAACAATTCAATCGTTAAATTAAAAGTTTTTAATGCATAGATTAAGTCTGCAAAGTTTTGAAAATTTTGAAAATTATTTGATACTTTGTTTCATTAATTCAAATAAACATATAAAATATTTTTATGATTATCCATCATTTTGAATTAATGAAACGGGGTATCAAATAATTTTTAATTTGTTTAAAATTTTGCAAATTTAATTTATGCATTAAGAATTTTTAATTTAACGGTTGGATGAGTGGAGTAATAATATATCCACTGTCACAAAATTGACTTCTATGAAGCAAATTATACTTCAATCCTTCAACGTATAGAACATCTTTCATAGTATGCATAAAGTCGTTATTTATCTTATCTATAATCTTTCATTTGCCACTGCTTCCGAATGAGACTGATCCTCATAAGGTTGGAGTTATAGGAATATAGACCTTTCTCTTGTTATGTGTCACGAGCAACCATTTTTTAAGTATCGATGTGGATTATTTCTTTTTCCCACCAAGGATGATGGAGGAAGCTCATGGGTCAAGGGCCCAACTACTAGGGCTATGGCAAGAAGGATGCATGAAGAGTGGGCCCAACCCCAAGAAAGGCCCATCACTTTATTTTGTTGGGCTTTGTCTCAAGCCCATTAGATTAGGGTTAGTATAGGATTGGGCCTTAGTGTCTTATATTTTCTTTTGGGCCTTGTATTTTCGGCCATGTAGCTTAGGATTTTCATTTAGAGGCCATGTGAATTTAAGGGTATTTAGGTTGCATGTGAATTTTCATTAGCATGTAATTAAAATCACATTTGAAGTGCATTTCGGCCATGTGCAACACATGCACATGGTGTGATCTGAAATGCAACTCAAATTGATTTCTAATTACATGCCAAATGAAGAAGCACATGGTGATCCGGGTTTTAGGCACCAAAATTTGAATTTTGAATTCAAATTTTGGGCGCCTAAGGTTAAGTAAACCTTACCTTGGTTCCACTTAACCTTAGGTTAACCCTAGGTCACTTTAACCTAATTCTTCCCTATAAATCGCCTTGGCCGAGAATTGTATGCACTTTGGATTATATTGATGAGATTTTCTATCTTGAATTTCATCCCTCCGAAGTCACCTTGGTTCCCTACTCTACCCTCCTTGAGTGCTTCTCTTTGTAGAGCTAGGTCACCATTCTTCTTTGGACTTAGCTTGTGTGCAAGCTTAGGTATCAAGAGCATCCGGTTTGTCTTCAAGAGATAAGTCTTGGTCCTTGTCTTTTGGAATTTGTGATCCGTGGTTCATTGTTCATCTTGAGTTCATCTTGTTTTGAGTTTTGTCACATGAGAGTTTCTTCATTCCTAGATCTAATTTTAGCCTTAAAATTTGATGGATCTAGTTTTCTTATGCTTGAATGATTCATTATGCTTTTGTGATATTATGCTTCCTTGAATCATGCTCTCTTCTTGTGCCTTCTAGGAAATTTTTCTGCCTATGAACTTTTTAATTTCTTTGAGTCATATTGAAAATTTTATTCGGTCATTGATTGCTTGAGTTTTATTTTTTTTGTTTTGGAATCCATGTCTAGTAGGATTGTGTAGTTCTTTCATGTTCATCATTCTTAGCTTGGCTTGTGATCCGTTTGAATTTTCTTTTTGAACCTTGATCTAATTTCTGGATTTGGCCGAGATCCATTATCGTTTGGTATAAGCTCATAATTTTGTTTTGATTGAGTTCATAAACTACTATTAGATCATTAGTAGTTTTCTTAGAAAATTTTAGGTTTCCAAAATTTTTAAAATGTCTTAAAATTTTCTTCAATCCGTGAGTGATTTGATTTTGTTAGTTTAAAAGTGTGCTGGAAATTGTGTTTGTGTTTCAAATTTGAAATTGAATTGTGGAGCCAAAAACCGTGTAGGTGCCTTTCAAAATTTGCAAGCATAGAAAGCATGTCACATTTGCTTTAAATTTGAACTTAATTTGCTTGTCATTTGGCATTTTTCTTTGATTCCGGTTTTAGTGTTCCTAAGGTGACCGAGAATTATATGATACATATATTTTGGACAGCAAAAGGCAACTCCTAATTGATTAAAAAAAAATTAGAAGAAAGATCAAAAGAAATTCAAAACAAAATTGATTAAAAAAATGCTAAACCTAATTTGAAAAGCAAAAGCCAATCAAGGAGTTTGAATTCTCAATTGTTACTTCTCGGTTTGTATATGTTTTTTGAATCATAAAATTTTCAGCTATTATATCTTTGAGTCTTTTGGTTTTGTGCATCTATTCTAGAACTAATCTTGGTCAATTCCTTCTTGTTCTAGTCATCTACTTGTTTGTGTCATATAAACTTGTCATCTCCTAATTTACTCTTGTCTTTCCTACTTCAATATTCTTTGCTGCTCTTATATTTGTTACAAATCAAAGTGTGGCCTAAGTTTGATCTAGTCTATCTTCCTAGAAGCTAGTTCTACAAGGGTCATCAAAAGAAGCCTAAGGAAAGGAGGAGGAAAGGACATAGGTGGCTCGGGGCCCTTCTTCTAGCGTCACATGTTCCTACCGTAAGTTCGCTGCCATTGTTAGGGTCACCGCATTCGAGGTATTTTCAGCTTTGACTCGTTGGGTTGTCACTGTTTTGTCCTTTAAAAGGCACCTCGG